CAAAGGCAAAAATGAACTATTGGGACTTCATCAAGATAAAGAACTTGTGCACAGCAAAGGGAACAGTCTACAAAAGCAAAAGACAACCAACAGAATGGGAGAAGATATTTGTAAATGTCTTATCAGATAAAGGGCTAATATCCAAATGCTATTAAAAAAACTTATCAAACTCAACACCCAAAGAACAAATAATTTGAAAAAGAAATGGGCAGAAGACATGAATAGACATTTCTCCAAAGAAGACATAAAAATGGCCAAGTGACACATGAAGAAATGTTCAGCAGCACTTCACATCAAGGAAATACAAATCAAAACCACAATGAGATACCACCTCACACCAGTCAGAACAGCTAAAAGTAGCACAGGAAACAACAGATGTTGGCGAGGACACGGAGAAAGGGGAACCAATCTTATGCTACTGGTGGGAATGCAAGCTGATGTAGCCACTCTGGAAAATAGTATGGAGCTTCCTCAAAAATCTGAAAATAGAGCTACCCTACAATCCAGCAATTGCACTACTGGGTATTTACCCCAAAGATACAAATGCAGTGATCCAAAGGGTCACCTACACCCCAATGTTTATAGCAGCAGTGTCCACAATAGCCAAACTATGGAAAGAGCCCAGATGTTCACCAACAGATGAATGGAAAAAGAATATATGGTATATATGTATATATAATAGAATTCTACTCAGCCATCAAAAAAAAAATTGAAATTTTGCTATTTGCAATGATGTGGATGGAACTAGAGGGTATTATGCTAAGTGAAATAAATGAACCAGAGGAGGACAATTATCATAGGATCTCATTCATATGTGGAATTTAAAAAACAAACACAAGATCATAGAGGAAAAGAAGGGGAAAAAAAAAAACAAGAAAATCAGACAGGGATGGCAAACAATAAGAGACTCTTAATCATAGGAAACAAACTGAGCATTGCTGGAGGGGCAAGAGCAGGGAGATGGGGTGACTTGGTGATGGGCATTAAGGAGGGTACATGATGTAATGAGCACTGGGTATCACATAAGACTAATAAATCACTGAACTCTACCTCTGAATCTAATAATATACTATATGTTAATTAATTGAATTTAAATAAAATAAAACTTAAAACCAAAACCAAAATAAAAAATGTTCTAAAAAGGTAAGACTATGATTAAGGAAATCATGTTTCAGACCTAAATTTTCATTTTAAAAAAGCAAAGAGGAACTAGAGTTTTCTGATACAATAATTGGCATGTTGAAAATGGGTCTTTAAATTCTATAATTCTGGGGTGAGGGGCAGGAAAAATGAGTAAATGTGGTCAAAAGGTACAAGCTTCTGGTTATAAATAGAGAAGTCCTAGAGATGAAATATACATAACATGTTGACTACAGTTAACAATACTCTGTTTGATATTTGAAAGTTAGTAAGGGTAGTAATTAAAGTAGAGAATGACAGGGTGATGTTGACACCTGAGACTAAGAAGGTGACAAAATCTTAAATCCTGAAGATCACCTAAAGCTAAGTGGTGGGTGGGTCACAGAGCATGGTGGAGCCTTGCGGTGGATCCACTAAGCCAGGGAGCCCAGGTGTCCCTGACCTGCACTGTTAGGTCACTTCTGAGGATGGCTGGTGTGGAAGGAACTTGAGTGACAGTTGGTGTGTGGGTATGGGTCCTTTCTTATCAGATAATAACAGAGAGTGAAGAGCCCAAAGTTCTCCTGGAGAGAATCTGGGGTCACATCTGAAGAGGTGTTCCAGCTGATAACGTTTCAGTCCCTCCAAAATGAGGAGTGTCCAGAAAATTAAAGGAGTGTCTCTCTGAAGTGAGACAGTCAGTAGAGAAGAACATAATCAAGGATTTTTCAGCTTCTGCTGGCTCAGATGAATGGAACTGATTCAATTTTTTTCTATTTTAAATAGGTCATTTTGTTTGATATACACTCTTTGCCATATATTTTTAAAATTCCCACAAAGTACAAAAAGAAAAATTCTCTAAACATCCAAATGGACCAAAGGTTACACAGCTCTCAGAAAATATAAAGTGTGTGTTTCTTATCTATTATTGAATTGGGCGTGCTGTTTTGCCATCTTATCTTTCTGGGGTAAATAAAGGATAGTATCAAGTTATATTTAGGAAATCTGATTTTCCCGGTGTCAAGGAAACTTCTTGGGAGAAGAGGCATGGACCCTTTCAGGCCTTCATGGAAAAACTTATTTAAAAGCATCCTTAATGTTTTGTTTTGTTTTAATTAATATATTATCTGCATATGCCAAATATGCTAAGTGAATTAAAGGGGCCATCATACTGTCTCGGTACTAGAACAATTCATTCTAGCCAATAAATTAAAGATTTTGAGCCCAATGCTCCAGAACAAAAAGCATCTGATGTTTTACAAGGAATTTCCAATAAACACATGTGAGCTTTCACAGAATATTATTACACACATATACACACACACACACACACACACACACACACAGTTGTTCAGTTATTTGAAATTACAACAGTAATTGAAGTTACAGGGTCCCCTAAACGATTTATTGCCAAACCCTTGTGTACCCACTATAAAATTCAGGTGGACAATGTTTTCTCATTTACAATGAATGTTGCAGTCACAGAGTTTTAAATGAGAGTAAGAATAAAAATTTTTCCCTGCGGCATAAAAGGACACAGAGAAATAGCACATTTTTAAAACCACTTCCCTCACATTTGACTTCAAATACTAGCATCTGCCCCCAAAGATGACATTTTGTTTTTCTTTACTTTAAATTGTTTGCCATCACAATGTCCATCAAAAGCAAATTAAACCTGAGACAGATGCAAAGCATAGCATTTCCATAGTATTTTCAAGGGCAATGAGTCATTTGTCCATCAGCCAAAGTCTACATAGTCATATTCCCAAAGCAATAGGAACTCTTTTTGGAGTCTCTGGAGAGCCAGAGTTACTTTCAATGTAGCAGGGTCATTCATAAATTTACCAAGCCGTAGGAAGACTTTCACTACCGGTCTTGGCCCCTTGCTGAATCCTGTTGATTGTCACTACCTGAGGGCAAGTGGGGGAGCTTTCTCATAAAAAGTGTAGCATCAGCAAAGCCATCCTTGAAATGGGTTCAGTTGCCCAAGGCAGTTATTGTTTGCTAGCTCTGCGCTAACCGTATCTACACTGTGGCTTAAAATGGTGACCAGTGGGCAGAAAACATTTGACTCTAGGGGTGCCAGCTGGTTCAGTCAGTTACATGTCTCCCTTCAGCTCAGGTCATGAACTCAGGGTCCTGGGATCGAGCCCCACGTGGGCTCCCTGCTCAATGGGGAGTCTGCTTCTCTCTCTGCCTCTCCCCCTCCTCCCCCTCCCCCCTTCGCGCCTTGTGCTCTCTCCCTCTCAAATAAGTAAATAAGAAAACATCTGCCTCTGTTAACTGCTGTCCAAACAGTTAATGGAAAGTTAAGCAGAGGGAGTTTTATTTATTTCCCTACCATTAGCTCCCAACACTATACTCCATTTCTCTCCCTTCATTAAGGACAAAGCTTGAGATAGCCCCTTTCTCCCTCTAAACACAACCTCTATTTTTAGAAACTTTTTCTCCCTTTCAGACGACCCTTCATATCTGTTTTAGCCGCTTGTTACCCTCTAGTTTACATACATACTCACTCTCCTACACTCCATAGACTGTTCTGTCACTGCAACCACAACCCTTTCCTTTGTCGAAAAACTTTCCTTACCCTATATTAAATGCTGCTTAAATACAGAGATTGGTTTCCTCACCACGTGCCTCACATTTCTTCATGTAAAGCATCGGAGGGTCACTGCCAGGCCCTCTGTCAATGTCCTTTCAGGTTACAGGCTTACCCCTTGGCGTCGACAATGAGAATAAGAATTCTCTAGGCTGATCTATATAATGTCTACCCTCCGACCTCTTTTGAACTCCCTCCTCATCCCTCTTTTTAATTTGTATGGTATTTACTTAATTAGTAATTTGTATTACTGATTATTCAGATTGACTAATCTGAAGAGATTAAATTCTTAACGAACCAGTGCCATTTATTTTTTATATTTATTTGTTTATTTTGAGACACAAAGGTCTATTCTTACTAGGTCAAAGGCCACAGAAACCTAATCTCCTCGGAGTTGGTAACAGTAATTGCTAATCTCTCTGTGTATACAAACTAATTGGAATACATCTACTTTACTACTGTGCGGTTTCTACAGGTTGTCAACTAACCAATCAAGAAAAGAAATAATTTATTCATTTATTCATTCAAGAAATATTTACATAACTCCAGATTGTTATCAGTCCAGAAGTATGGAAGGAAACAATGAGACAATGACTCTTCTCCAAGGAGTTACATTCTTGCAGAGGGTTGACAAAAAGTAAAGGGAGGACTGAACAAGATAATTTCAGATAATGAAAAACAGAATTAAAAAAGAAAAAAGCCAGGTGCTGTGATGTTGCCTGGGATCAGTTACCCCTAGGCTTGGAGGGCAAGGAAGACCTTACTTGGAAGGAGAAACCCATTTGAGTGTGGAACCTGATTAAGCAGCCAGTCATGCAAAAATCAGGGAGCAGAGCTTTCTAGGCAGTATGAACAGCAACTACAAAGGCGTAAGGTCGGAAGGAAGCAGGCAATTTATCTAGGAACAGAAAGATGTCTGTGTGATTGGAACCAAGTAAGCAAATGGGAAAGTGTCACGAGATAAGGCTGGTGAGAAAGGACTCATTCCTTCCACCTTCATAACACGAGTAGGGGAGTTTAAATTTTAAATATGTGAAAAGCAATGGAAAGTTAAGCAGAGGGTGAAATAATCCTATTTACATTTCTAGAATATTATTCCGGTTGTTATCTGCAAACAGAATGTAATGAGAGCAGGAAAAGAAGGAAAACCGAACGTCAGTGCTCTGTACTAAAGACGAACTACTATTCTTCATGCAGTTTTTGAGAAGTGACTTTTTTCGCCTCCTAGCAATACAAAACAAATCCTTACACCAGAAATCACAACGTAGTAGAGTAGTCCTACCTTATCCACAGCGTCGCTTTCCGCAGTTTGTTACTCGAGGTCAACCCCAGTCAGACGTAGATGATCTTCCTGACGCAGGCTTGTGGCGTCAGAAGGTCAACAGTAGCGTTAGCTACTGTGACGTCACAATGCTGCGTCATTGGCTCGCTTCATCTCCCGCGCAGGCGCGGCCTCCCGAGAAGCATGAGGGCCCTACGATAAGATATTTTGTAAGAGAGATCACAATCACATTTTATTATAGCGTATTATTATAATTGTTCTACTTTACTGTTAGTTTGGGTATTCATCTCTTACTGTGCCTAATTCATAAATTAAAGTTATCATAGGTCTGTATGGATAAGGAAAAAAAACCAAAGTGTGTATAGGGTTGGGTACTATCTTGAGGTTTCCGGCATCTGCTGTGGGGGAGGGGTCTTGGAACTTCTCCCCGCAGACAAGAGGGAGCGACTGTAAAGATATGAAGTCAAGTTGGCACCACCGTCTCATAAAATGGTTTTGAATGTCAAATCAAAACAGGGAATCCTTTTTGCATGACCTTGTCAGCAAACGTTCTTTGTAGTTCTTGGAGCCTTGAGCTCTCAGATGCAGATGATTACCTGAAGTTAACGGCTGCTTCCAATTTTATTGGTTGATTCCTTTGAAAGAAAACATATGTAATAGGGCATTTTAGTTGTGTTTTGACTACAGCTTTGAAGTTTTAAATAACAGTATAGTGCTTACAGTATGATAGAATTGGATACAAATACTTGGAATCGCCTGGAATTTATGCAGAACAGGTATCTGTGCCCGGGTAAAACCGTTTCTCCTATCGTTATGCTTTCAATCATATTAATTGCATTTATGTATTCATTTGTTTATTTGAGAGAGAGTGCATGTGCCAACAGGGGAGTGGAGGAGGGTAGGCAGAGGAGAGGGAGAGAGAGAATCTTAAGCAGCCTCCACACCCAGGACAGAGCCGTTAGGGGATCGATCTCAAGACCCTGAGATCACGGCCTGAGCCAAAATCGAAAGTTGGATGCTTAACCGACTGGGCCATGCAGGTGCCGCTTTTACTTAAATTGCATTTTAAACAGAAAAAGCAACAAGTATGGCTAATGGTTAAAAAGAGAAAAGAAAACATACAAAAATGTGTTGCTATGATCCAAAGACCTATTTTTCATTCATCACCCCCTGAATATCTGAATCTTCCAGAACCACAGCATGAACTCTTGCCCTGGAATGTTCAGCATGTTTATTTTTGTCCTTCCTTCCACTTTCAGCAGAACTATTCCCATCGTTTTAATCATTGTCCACTGCCCAGCGCACATGCGTTCTATTTTAGTGGGTTTTTCCTTACTGTGGGGTAGGAAGCAATTAATCTAGACTTTTGGTAGCTATTAATGTTTAAGATATTTCTCTGTCCTGATAACAGGGACATTAAAAAACCCAAATGATGAAGCCAAGATATAAATGTCATCCTAATGGGAGAAACTTCAGACATCACTGAATACTCTGGAAGTGATGCAGGCAGGCTCTCAGGTTCTGCCCAAATCCTATCACTAAAGCCCTACATGAGCCCCACATGGAAAACTACATGCTGGATTGCCGTTGCCATCACTGCCATTCCCACACATGGAAGATGCCCAGTATTTGAACATAAACCAGCTGGGAAGAATCAACCATGTAACAAATACCACCCAATTTTTCTTCCCTAAAGTTCAATTTTCTGTAAAAGTGCTAAGGCTTTGTAATTTTAATGACTTCTTCCTCTTACCCAGGCCTTATCCACAGATCCTCTTTCTAAAATCTCAACTCTTACTATGCCAAATAGCAAAAAGCATACATTTAGCCGGGTAAATTTTTTAACTAATTTGCTAGCTATTTTCATCATTCGGATTTGACAGCCCCAAATTAAAAAAAAAAAAAATCAATTTCTGTCTCTGATGACAGATAAGAAAAGCCAAAGCATGGAGAAATGGCGTCTTTGTCAATGCTTAATGAATAAACCGCATAGAAGGAATAATCTGATATATTTTTTTCTCAGAAATCAATAGGAACACTCTCCATTTTTATATTAATCCCCTCTGCATTAAAACCTAGAATTGCAGATTAAGCTTTCATGTCTCTGTACTCCTTTCCCAACATGCCCTATTTGGTGTTGTGTTTTTTTCTAGGAATTAAGCAATTGTCAGTCACCCCCTGCATTTCACCACCTCCCTGAAAAGAAGTTATTTGCTGACATGCTGGTCTATTAAGCGTCTTACGAAGAAATCCACAAGCTTGTGTTTCATTCAATCATAAAAAGCTTGAGAACATTCAACAAAGGGTGGTGAGCAAAGGGAACCTTAATTAGTTTAAGTGAAACTGACTCAGATGAATATGCTAATTTACTGACTCCACCAGGATCTGGTTTTCTGTATGCTCAGTTTTAACTTTCGGGCCACGTTTGTGACTGTCAACTGCCACAGGCCCAGGCTTTCCAAGCCAGGTTTGGCATGGGTTTGGTGACAAAGAAGACCAGCCAGGCAGGAAAGCCATGCCTGGCTCAACAGGGGCTATTCTCACAGTCAAGTCCAACAGGGCTCCTGGTGGCAGGAGGAAATGTCACCGGTTGCCCCAGGAGCAGCTGAGAAGACAGTGCAAACAGACGAAAGAGTTAGTTCTAATCAGAATACCAAAGTGCAGGTCTGAGCTAGCTGATGAGACAAAAAAGTGGTCAATGTGGGGCAGGCTGTGTGCATTTTATGACGCTTGGAATAAAAGGTTTTCTTCCACCCACACTGAGGTAACTTCAGGTAACATTGGTGAAGTGAGAATTATATTTTTGGTCAAGAGGAAATCCTTCCCCATACCTCAGAAGCAGCGCCTGCCTAAATGAGCAAAAGTGACTTAAGGTGGGCTGATAAGAAATCCTGGGGCGCCTGGGTGGCTAGGTCCATTAAGCGTCGTTCTTTGGCTCAGGTCATGATCTCAAGGTCTTGGGATCAAGCTCCACCTCAGGCTCTCTGCTCAGCAGGGAGTCTGCTTCTCCCTCTCCCCTACCCCCTCCCCACTTACGTGAGCTCTCTCAAATAAATAAATAAAACCTTACAAAAAAAAAAAAGAAAGAAAGAGATGAGAGAAATAGAAAGTCATTAGAATTTTAGTAGTTATTATTGCCACAGGGAAATTCCACTGATGGATGCTTAAATTAGTGGTCAGAACTTTTAAAGAGAAATAAGATATTAGCAAAGCCTCAAAGTATCACCCATAATATTTAGTAATCATTGTGGTGCTGATTAATTACTGTGGTTCTGGGAGGGGGAGCCTAATAACCCTTTTTTGAGTGTGGTCTGGATTAAGTGACCAGCTTCTAATGAATAGAACATGGAACGGGAAAAATTAGAACTTTACAGGAGAGAAACCTGGCAGATACCGTCTTAACCAAATGATCAAGGTTAACATCATAGGTATGAGTCATGTTGGTATTATGTACCCATTCATATGCCAAGATGAGAAGGGCAAGTAACGTGGTATTCTTCTCAAAACTCCGTAATTCCAGTCCAATTAATCATGAGATGTCATCAGACAGATACAAATTGAAAGATACTCTTCAAACTACCTACCTGGTACACTTTAAAAGTGTTACAATCATGATAAACAAGGAGAGACAGAGAAACCACAAAAGATTTTTAAAAACCTAGGAGACATGACAACTAAATACAACATGTGCTGGATCCTGGAACAGAGGAAGGACATTAGCTGAAAGCTGATCAAATCCTAAACTAGCCTGTAGTTTTGCTAAGAGTGTTGTTTCAATGTTAATTTCTTGTTGTAATCATGTATCACTGTTATGTAAGATGGCTAACATTAAGGGAAGCTGGGGGAGAAGTAAAAAGAGAACTCCCTGTGCTAATTTTGTAATCCTGTGCATTTAAAATTATTTTAAAATGAAAATGTTCTTTAAAAGACTAAAAAAAAAAAATCTAGCCACTTAGTATTTTACAGTGGGGAAAAAAAAAAAAAACCTTCAATCTCCTCTAGCTGCCTCAATACTACTTCTCATCATTGTGTTGTACGTTCCTTGTTAAAACATCTAATTCAATTTTTTTTTATTTGAATTATTGACCTAGGTCACGAGAATGAGAAGACACAGACTTAGAGAAATATTTGCAAAAGACATACTTGATAAAAGATTGCTCTCCAAAATATACAAAGAAGCCTACATCTCAAAAATAAGAAAACAAACTGATTTAAAAATGAGCAAAGGAACAGGCACCTTACCAGAGAAGATGTATAGATGGCGGGCACCTGGGTGACTCAGTGGGTTAAAGCCTCTGCCTTCATCTCAGGTCATGATCTCAGGGTCCTGGGATTGTGCCCCGTATCGGGCTCTCTGCTCAGCAGGGAGCCTACTTCCCCTCCTCTCTCTGCCTCTCTGCCTACTTGTGATCTCTGTCTGTCAAATAAATAAAATCTTAAAAAAAAAAAGATGTATAGATGGCAAATCGTCCTATGAAAAGATGCTCAATATCATACATTATCAGGAAATTTCAAATTAAGCTACAATAGCACACTACTATATACCTATTAGAATCACCAAAATCCGAAACACTGACACCACCAAATGCTGACAAGGATGTGGAACAACATGAACTTGTATCCATTGCTAGTGAGAGTACAGAATGGTACACCCACTTTGGAAGACAATTTGGCAGTTTCCAACAAAACTAAATATACTCTTACAATGTAATCCAAGAATTATACCACTTAACTCTTTACCCAAATGAATTAAAAACCTCTATCCACACAGAAACCTGCACACAGATGTTTATAGCAGCTTTACTCATAATTGCCAAAACCTTGGAAGCATCTGTCATTTAGAATATATAAGCGTAAGTTAAGATCCCAGAGGAGAATAAATTACCTTAACGGAAGATACAGTCCTCCCTGTCCAGGGGGAGTCCTAGCAGGTTTAATGTGGGGCAAAGGGAAAGGCTAGGTAGGGCTGACCCATTGCTTTACTGAAAAGCATTCCTTTAATCAGTGGCAAAGAGAAGGAAGGAACAGGAGAAGGAACAACAGAA